CTAAACCCTAAACCCTTATTAATAAACCCTAAACCCCAAGCCCTGAGCCCTAAACCCCAAGCCCTGAGCCCTAAACCCCAAGGCCCCCGAAAGCGCCTCCCCCCATCCACTCGCAGAGCTGGGGCTCGCCTTCCCAGAAGCTACTTAGGAACCCTTAAAGAGACCCTATCAACCCTTAAAGGAAACCTTAGTAGGAAGGTACTTAGGAACCCTTAAGGAGACCCTATCAACCCTTAAAGGAAACCTGAGTAGGAAGGTACTTAGGAACCCTTAAAGAGACCCAATCAAGCCTTAAAGGAAACCTTAGTAGGAAGGTACTTAGGAACCCTTAAAGAGCCCCAATGAACCCTTAAAGGAAACCTTAGTAGGTATAGAGGCTTTGAGCTTTGAGGCTTTTTGAGGGTACCCAGCTCACGGGCCACTATGCTGGCACTCTGAGGCTTCTTCTCTAGGGACTCGAAAGGATCTTGGGCTCAGGCTCACGGCTTATAAGGGACTCGAAGGGATCTTGGGTTCAGGCTCAGGGTTTTATGAAGGGGCTTTAGGTGTCAGAGTCTCGGGGTTTCGAGTCGAGAGGAAGGGCTCCAGGTTGCCGTAAGCGAACATCTCACCGCGGGCTTAGGGTTTATATTATCCACCCTTTTTCCACAGGCTTGAACTGAGCTTGCCCGGCCAAGTCCCTCGCAGCACATCGCACTCCCTAAACCCTTAACCCCAAACCCTATACCCTGAACCCTATACTCTAAACCTTAACCGTATTATATAGAGTTTAGGGTTCTGAACCTTGCAGATCAAGGCCAGCTGCTGCAGTTCTTGGGCGGAGTGGAGTGGGAGTGGAGTCTGGTTTCCGACTGAGGTACGTGGTTGATACTCCCCGGCAGGATTTGTTGTATGTATGAGATAATAACCTCAAGGGAAAAATCCCGACTCCAATCGATCAGGCCCTCACAGAGGACTCTTTGCACGCACATGGCCCGATGGGAGGCATCGACACAACCAGAACAACGATTGGATTGCTCTTCCAAGACTGCTCAGACCCAGCTGAGCCCCACACCAGCTTTCTTTTCCAGCTGAAAGCATCCCTAATATAAAAAAGGAGCAATCACGCCGGCGATGACCTCAGGGTTTGGATACCCGATGGACGTCAGGTACGGGGCCAGGCAGCATGTCTCGTAGGAAGGGCGACGCCTCCGGCCGAAGCAGATGTATTTCGAAAGCAGCTTGCCGCAGCAGAAATACTCTATCCACCGCATTTTCACCTGAGGACGTGGGTTGCGCTCGCAGGGGTACTGGTTCGTGGAACACGTGTAGTCAATTATCCCCTGCCACAGGTCGAACAGCCTAAGCGTGCGATTGCTTGGGAAGCACTCAGCCTCCGATGGCAAGTCTATCCATGCCTCAGAGCGAGCAAAGGCGCAGTCATGCTCTGCACCAGAGATCGCCCAGCACCTCTCATGGCGGAAACCGAGGTGCGCCAAGTAGTCCTCGGTTTCCTTGCGCGTGTGCTGGCCGGAATATACTGGACGAGGTGTGTCGTCCGGAATCTCAATGACAATCCGGTCTACCCGCTTGAGCTCTGTGCCAGCAGACTTTACAACCTCAAGATCAGCACCCTGGACATCAGTTTTCAAGATTTGCACTCGATCCGGTAACACGGCCAGGATGTCTTTGAGTGACACAACAGCCACTTGCATCGTCTCATGGGCAGTTAACTGCCTGTTTGGATCAGCCTGCAGCAAGGAACCTTACTTTTTCAGAGTGAGACTATCAGCCAAACACGACTTTGCGCTACGAAAGAATCACTAAGACAAGTTATTCTGAATACATGCATATACTATACAGTACACACCTTTGAGCTTGAATCATTGACATTGAAATAGCCCCAGCAGAACTCAAAACGGGATGCATACTGCATGGGATAGGCACCCAGCTGCGTCTTTCCACCAGAATTGAAGCGCCACTCCTCCCCTGAGTATGCCCAGCGATATAGAGTCGACCAGCCTGGGCATCGAAGCTGGGATTCCTTTCTGTGGTTCACGGAGTCGGGTTTCGGATTTCGGGTTTGGGGCTTTGAGTTCAGGAAGTAAATTGGACTTTAAGGTTTGATAGTTTTAGGGGTGCAGGATGAGAATCCTCCATGGTACGATGTAGGGCCTATTCTCCCTTTCCGTCTGAACATATGTAAGGCCTCTGGAGCTGTTACCCACCGCCGCATTGATCAAGATCATCCGCGGGTGGGCATGGTTTACAAGATGGTGCGCCCAGTGCAGGTAGTCCGGCTCGAAAGCGATAACCCATGCCGCAGGATCACTTCTCAGCCGTGGTAGGAAGGTTGACTCTCTGTGAGTCCCTACATCAATCAGGATGTTTGCTCTCAGCGGGATGTCCAAGAGTGGCTGGTCACCATCTTGCAGCTTCGCGACTGGGGTGGTAATGACAAGATGGCCGTCGTCAATGGACAGGCGACCCAGAACAGGTCCAGATGTGGCCACCACCAAGGACAGCAGGAATCCCGGATGCCTAGAGCTGGAGCTCCACCCGGAGCGAATCGCGTCAGAAACAGCATGCACCATGATATAGCCTAAACTGCACGCGCCATGTTACGGGATACCCGGAACAAGTGCTTGCACGGCTGTGCAGCGCAACGTTCCGACTGATTGACCAAGTGGCTTGGGCCAATGTGTTGCAGCAAGAAGTGAAAAGACCATTACTAAGAACATGAGGGAGTCGCTCAAAGCACCCAGGCGGCGAAGTCAGCGATGCATGGTGCTTTTCCCAGCAACTTTAACCCTAAACTCTAACACGATGGGAGCAAGAGGGCAATGTTCCTTTTCCCTTACGTCACATCCTTGCATAAGCGCAGCATCCGAAGGCAGTACTCGAACCTGAGCCAGTTGGAGGTCTTCAGCTTCGGCGGTGATAGTCTGCTTTTGTTGCCAGGCGTTTCAGGGTTTGGGGCAGTTTAGGGTTTAGGGTTTAGGGTTCAGGGTTTAGGGTTTAGGGTCAGGGGCGGCGTGGAAATCAACAAGAGCCTACGATAGGAGCCTTCACTTGTTGGAGTCTAGGGGCATTATAAGGGTATGCTATGTGAGCCGAGTTGCACTAAGGACTCAAGGTACCCTACTCCGACCCTAATCTTCCTTTCAAAGGACCCTGACCGGTCTGAAGCGCTGAATTGCGATGCGAAGCCTGAGCCGCAGAAAAGGGAGAACACAAACTGCCGAAGGGCAGAGAGAGCCCTGAGAGAACGCGAACTACACGTCTCAAGCGCCTGGACATCTAAGACCCCTGCCGGTGTTCTCTTCTTTACCGGGGCCCCTTTCAAGCCAATGTCGGAAGCCCCGGCCCTCCGGGCCCCCACTCCAAGCAGAAGCCGGGCCGACTCAGCGCGGCCGATCCTTCCTTGCAAAACCCTCTCAAGACCCGGGGTCAGCCTCAAGCACAGCAGAATGTCCTAGGACCTACTTGGCCCCGAGGGCCAATTAGAGCACCCTGGAACTGGCCCCCGAAGCCCAAGCAAGCCCAAGCCATGGAGCTTTCCGCCTTGCGCCGAGGTGCACCGGCCGAACTTCTTCTTCTCTTCCGGGGTTCTGGTCTGGATGATACTCTCGGATCAATCCTGAGCTCTTCGGGTTCTCACGACTATAGGAACCCCAGACCTGAAAACCCCCCATTCCCCCATTGATTTTCTGTTGTGGCCCGGGCTGGCTTTAGGGCACTTTAGGGGCTCTTCAGATCGCCGAGTGTTGCGCGAGCAGCCAGGATCATGTGAGCCTTGCGTAGATAACTCGTGCAGACATTGCGTGTTCTACATCCCTTTAGTACGAGCAGGTCGTTGCAAATCGGCCACCAAAAAATGGGCCAGAGTCACGCCCCTGCGCTCTAACTCTAACGTGTCGCCCAGCCAGCGCGGTACGAGGTTCCACCAGCACCCACTGAGCATGTAAACCACGCAGGCGACGTTTCCGACAGCCCCCACTTGAACTTGCACGCGAATACCCACGTCAGCTCATCGGTTCACTCATGCCAAGTCATCCTGCAAGTATCCGCAGCATCTACCTAACCTTCAACACCCAGAGACGCGTCCAAACCTCAACTTGCATGTATGTCATAACCCCAAGCCCACAACCCAAGCCGAGCCCAACTGTTCAGGGTGTCCTGCTTATAAGCGAACAACAGAGACCTTAAAACTCGAGTGGAAGCATGCAGCAACCCGGAACATATCAGAGCCTACAGCAACACTGCATCGACCGCACGACTCCCCGGAACCCCAGAGCCTAAAGCTCAGCCTCCCGGAATGCCTACTACTCCTACACCCCCCCAGACCCACTTCGAGTCCGAAACCTCCACCCCTGGGCCCCTAAACCCCGCTTGCCTCGTGGCTCAAGGAGCTCTCTCTTTGCTCAGAACGCAGGTCGAGTCATCACTTCCCCCTTTTTTTTGAAGAAAATACACCCCCCCCCCCCCCC